TTAAAATAGTTCCATATACCACACGATCTTGGCTTCATCTTTATTGCAATTTGATCAAATTGTCGTACAATTAATCTCCAAACGTAGAGAATAGAAGCAATAGAGAACACTCAAAAGTTCTGGTATCTCTCTAATCTCTACTACTAAACACGATCATTCGGGCATTGGGGCGGATTTGGAGCAATATTCTCGCCGCAGCAACTTTGAGATTCGAGGAGTTCCTGAGAGGGACAATGAGAACTTGGTTGCCATGATCGAAACTATGGCTACCTCCATGACGTTCCGATTTCGGCTGTTGATGTGAATGCTGTTGCGTTCCTCACGGTCCAAATGGTAATGGGTCGAAGGGTCGTCGAAGTGCTCCTAAGGCTGGTATTGTACGTTTCTGCAGTCGTGTTATGCGTGATAAATTTCTTGTTGCTGCGAAATTCAGGACCAGGAATTTCCAGATCTACGTCAGGAAGAGTGACGACGCACGCTCTATCCACATTTAAAGTGGCCAGGATATGTCATGCAACTATTATTTACCATGTTGTATAACTTACGATGTCTGCCATTTCATTTTATTACCAAAATGTACGCGGCCTTAGAACTAAGTTAGATACATTATTCAATAACGTGTTAAACTCTGATCACGACGTTATTTGTCTGACGGAGACTTGACTGCAAACTGGGATACATTCGGCAGAGGTTTTTCCAGATTCGTACCATATATTTAGATCCGACAGGCCTAATAACGCATTTAATAATTTGTTGGGTGCGGGCGTTTTGATCGGCGTATTCAGTAATCGGGCGTTTCGATTGGTTTGTCGGGCTGGCATAACATTACGTGGTTAATTGATTCATGTTTGTTGTATTTATATTCCGCCTTTGCGATATGCGGAGAATTCAACCTACCGGAGCTGAGATGGTCTCTCAATGTCAATTTTCGTCATTGTGTCGCTTCACGTATTAATAATACTACTAGATCGCTCTTGATTTTCTTGACGCTCTGTATCTGTGCAGCCTGATTCAATTCAACCACGTTGGTGCCTTTCAGAATACTTTGGATTTAATAATTGCTAATTTCTATGATGTAAATAACGTGAATTTAAGCGATAACCCATTGGTTCGTGAAGATATTGCTCATACTACACTTGAGTTTTAGTGTACGGTTGCCACCTCGTCTAGTTTCGAATATAACTCTTTACTGATCATCATAATTAGTTTATATACGTAAATTTTGTATATTTTGATGTGTTTTTCTTTTACTGTTGTTATTTTTGAGGCACTGTGCCTTGGGTTCGTCCCGTTTCCGTGCTCAACGGTATGTATTAAATAAACAAGATGTTACAGGTCTCCTGAGTCTAGTTGACCCTAAATTAGGTCTAGGTCCAGATGGTTTGCCTGGTGGGGTTATTGTCAACTCCGCGGAAGAACTAGCTATACTCTTATACCACATATTCAGTCTCTCTGTGAAAGATTCTATCTTCCCTGTAGAATGGAAAAAAGCATTTGTTATACTAATTTTCAAGTCTGGTAAAAACACTTGGTCACTAATTATCACCCGATTTGTCATCTACTTTAAGTACGAAAGCTTTCTCGGCTGGTGTTAATTGAACTAAAATTAGAACTAACACTTGAAACTTTCGGGTTTTGCCGTGCGTCTTTTAATAAAAGGTTTGACGTTTCGGATGCCATGTTGCAACCTTCTTCAGAAACTGGTTCGAAGTGACGAGATCAAAAAATCGGTAACTATATATAAGTCGGAAAAACTAATTAATAATCAGTTAACGCTAATTACAAACTAATTAATAACTAATTGCGTCGCGTCCGGTGTGAGGCGGGAAGAGGTCTTCGTGTTCACCACCATCTTCCATGTTCTGCTAAGCTCCCAGCCATCCTCTCTGTTGACGNGATTGCCAACCTTCCTCATCCGTGTGAAAAGAATCAACTCTGTCTTCTTAGGATTCACAGAGAGTCTTTGTTCGTCACACCAAGTCTCTATCAGTTTGAGAGCTACTTGCATCCTGTCAAACAGCACGTTTATATACTTGCCTTTGACGAGAATGGTTAAATCATCTGCGTAACCAACTGTGATAAAGTTGGCTTCGGCGAGGCGGTTCAAGAGGCTATCCAGGGTGAGGTTCCACAAAAGTGGGGATAGTACACCCCCTTGTGGACAGCCTCGAGTAACTCCTCCTTGAAGACTGACATCGCCAGCCCTAAGCTTAACTATCCTATGTTTAAGAGTGTTCTCAATCCAACCACAAAGAGTCGGTGAAACATTATGCTCTAACAAGGCTTCGTTAATACCAGAGAAAGTTGTTTTATCAAAAGCTCCCTCTATATCTATAAAAACACCCAGGGCGGACTCCTTTAGGTCCAGCGCTGCACCAACAAAGCTGGTCACTGAGTGAAGAGCTGTTAGTGTGGACTTGCCCTGAGTGTAGGCGTGTTGATTAGGATTTACTGGTTTAGTTGGAAGATAGAAATCTCTAATGTAGCGATCACATAGTCTTTCCAGAGTTTTCAAAAGAAAGGAGGAGAGACTGATTCTTCTAAACGATTTCGGTGTGAAATAATCAAGCTTACCCGGTTTTGGTATGAAGTTCACTGTGACCTCACGCCACCGACTGGGTATATAGCGCAGCGCCAGGCATGCCTGGAAGATTTCCACCAGGTGAGGTACTAAATCCTCCAAACCCCATTGTAAAAGGGCAGGTATAATACCGTCTGGTCCTGGTGTTTTGAACGGCGAGAAACTGTTGATGGCACACCGTATTTTATCCTCCCTGCAGATCTCTTCGGCAGAAATCCAATCATCTGCAGTAGGTTCATGGTTGGTGTCCTGTTGTAAGTATACGGAACTTCCGGAACCTGAAAAATGCAACTCCATTAATAGATGAAGACTCTCTAAAAGGTTGTCGGTATAAGAACCGTCAGCCTTTTTTAGTAAGCCAATTCGTCGTTCACGGTCTGAAGCCAGAACCCGATTTAACCGAGAAACTTCGCTGCAGGAGGAAACTTCCTCACAAAATTTCCTCCACGTTTCTCGTTTCTTATGACGAACGCTTTTTTTGAACTCCGCTAATTTTCCTTTATAAAGTTTCCAGTCGGAGTCTAATTTTGAGTTTTTAGCTCTATTAAAGGTAGCCCGCGCCTCCCGTTTAAGTTTGGCGAGTTCGGGGCACCACCAAATGGTTGCACGACCGGACTCAGCCTCCTTACGGAGGGGGCAAGCCTTTTTATAAGCTTTAATTAAGGAGTCACTGATAATATTTAGGTACTCCTCAACTTCAAAGCTTCCAGTTGGCTTACGCAACCCAATGTCGCTCAAACACCCAGTAAGCAAGGATCTGAACACGCCCACATCCGTCCTTCTGGGGTTACGCTTTAGGTTCTTTCCAATCTTTATGGTACCAAAATCGAAAGTGATCCATCTATGGTCGGACATTGAAACATTGCCGTTCCACATCTCTATCTCCACTCTCGAACTCCTTTCACAGTATAGACCCTTCCCTTCTTCTTCTCTGTGCTTCCTCTGTTGAGTACCCTACTCTAGTATAATATTCTCTTTTTTCTTGTTGTCAAACATTCTCCCAAAATTTTAAAGTCGCTCCTATGCTCCAGCCCATCCTCGTACTTTATCGCCCTTCTGCCTATTTCCACCCTCATCTTCTCCAGTTTCCACTCTTCTCTCACTATGTATGCCAGAGTCTCCCTGCTCAGTCCCAGGACGCACTTGGAATATCTCTCCTGGATGTCCTCCACCATCTTGTATTCCTTCCACCCCCATATTTCGGCTCCGTACNTTATTGCTTTTCCACATCTCTATCTCCACTCTCGAACTCCTTCCACAGTATAGACTCTTTCCTCCTTCTTCTCTGTGCTTCCTCTGTTGAGTACCCTACTCTAGTATAATATTCTCTTTTTCTTGTTGTCCATACTCCCCCACGCCAGTATTAATCTCCCTCCAACATTCTCCCAAAATTTTAAAGTCGCTCCTATGCTCCAGCCTATCCTCGTACTTTATCGCCCTTCTGCCTATCATCCCACCCTCATCTTCTCCAGTTTCCACTCTTCTCTCACTATGTATCCCGGAGTCTCCCTGCTCAGCCCCAGGACGCACTTGCAATATCTCTCCTGGATGTCCTCCACCATCTTGTATTCCTTCCACCCCCATATTTCGGCTCCGTACATTACCACACTCCTCACCAGTCCATCAAACATTATTTTCTGAATGTACAAATCTTTCCCAAATATTCGTTACCCCGGCTTCATATCTGTCCCTATAATTTACTTGCCTTTCTAACTCTTTGCGTAATATGATCGCCAACCCCATTATCTACTCGAAGGTAAAACCCAGGTACATAAATTCTCCTTTAAATTTTCCTTATTCTTCATATTCCCAGCGTTGGTTGGTTTTTGGAATCACTTTGATGAAGGGTCGGTTGATGGGTACCGATTTATACCATTCGAGTGATGTCTCTCTTCAAGCTGTCTGCCTATTGTACTTTTATAATAGTCATTGCAATAATTTTGATTTATTTGTGGTTGCACAAAGAGTTTTCAGGTGTTATGTATTGAGCTTGATTATTTGTCATTAATTTTGTTATTAATTCAAATTGTATTTAATTTTCTTTTTATTAATTATTGTTTTTCTTGTACTAATTATTTTTTAGTGGATACTTAATTGGGAGTTTCCTGTATATATCCCGAATATAAATAATAAATAACTAATATAAATATAAATATGAATATAAATAAATACGACGTCATTTTCTGGATTACAAAAAAACAAATCAGTTCTTATCAGTTCTTTTAGATTTTACCGTCCTTGCCTGGATGTAATTATAAACTTCTTGAGTCATTTTTAATAAGTTTAAATGTATGTTGAAGATGTTCTTATCTCTGTATAAATATTAAAAAAGAGATAAGATATTTTTAAATGAAAACATAGTTTACCTATTTGATTAAAATTAATCAATTTAATGATTAATTAATTTAATTAATTAATTTAATGATATTTAAACATTTTAAGGTATCTTAACAATGATAATGGTAAGAACTTTACGACGAGATATTGCTCGTTATAATGCCGATGAAAGTATGGACGATGCAATAGAAGAAACCGGATGGAAATTAGTTCATGGGGATGTGTTTAGACCGCCACGTAATTCACGGTTATTTGCTGCAGTCATTGGATCGGGGATACAAATATTTTTAATGGCTTTAATCACTTTATGTAATAAAAATTTTTATTTTAAAAAAGGCGTTTTTTAAAATATTTTTTTTTTTTTTAGTTTTTGCAATGTTAGGAATGTTATCTCCTGCATCAAGAGGAGCGTTAATGACGGCAGCGATATTTCTTTACGTTTTTATGGGGTTAATAGCAGGATATTTTTCGGCGAGATTGTACAAGACGATGAAAGGTCGCGAATGGAAAAGAGCGGCTTTCTTAACAGCTACTTTTTACCCGGCTATAATAGCGGTTACGTGTTTCTTTTTAAACTTTTTCATTTGGGGTAAAGCGAGTAGTGGAGCTGTTCCATTTTCAACGATGATTTACCTCCTTTCTATCTGGTTTTGTATCGCTTTACCGCTAGTTTATTTGGGATATTATTTTGGATTTAGAAAACAACCGTTTCAACACCCCGTTCGAACCAATCAAATACCGAGACAAGTTCCAGAACAACATTGGTACTTAAATCCGTTATTATGGTGAGTATAATTAATTTTGTTTTGTTTTATTATTAATTATTTTTTTTTAGTACCTTAATGGCTGGAATTTTACCATTTGGAGCAGTTTTCATCGAATTATTCTTTATTTTTTCGGCAATTTGGGAGAATCAATTTTATTATTTGTTCGGTTTTTTATTTTTGGTGTTTATTATTTTGGTTATTTCATGCTCACAAATTTCGATTGTGATGGTTTATTTTCAGTTGTGTGGGGAAGATTATCATTGGTGGTGGCGAAGTTTTGTGGTATCCGGAGGTTCAGCTATTTATATTCTTCTTTATTCGATATTTTATTTTATAACAAAATTAGAAATTACCGAGTTCATACCGACGCTACTTTACGGGAGTTACACTCTCTTAATGGTGATCACTTTTTGGTTGTTAACAGGAACGATAGGTTTCTTCGCCGCTTACGCATTTGTACAAAAAATTTATAGCGCGGTGAAAATTGATTAAATTACGAAATAAAAAAATAAACTAATAAGAATTAAAATTGAGATAACGATTACATTTTTTTAAAATTTATTTATTATGATTTCTTTTTTAAATAATGTAATCTCACACTTAAGAGGTTTACAAAGATGTCTTAACTATAATTAAATTTACAAAATTAATTCTTATTGTTGAAAATTAATTGAAAACGATGCCAGTAAGTGGTGGGTTTTAAAAAAAAGGTTAAAAATTAACACATACGGTAACTATTGTAAGATATTTTGTACGAAAAATAACGGGGAATATTCTTGTAGTAGAAATATTTGTTTAATGTGTACATAAAAATTCTTAGGTTTTTAATTCAAACAGCCTTTTTTTAATTAATAAACAGTGTCCTAATATCAATTTTTCGCATTTCGTACAATTTAGAGTTCATTAATTTTTTTTATACAACATAATAACTCACAAGAAAGGTGTTATAACATAATTGTATCTAACCGATTTCCTTCGTGGTGATCGTTCGCCATGCCTCTCTTCTGTCTTCTATAGTAGTACTCATCACTTGGGCAACCGACGTCTATGCCAAATCCTTTAATTAGTCTATATCTCACCAATGACCTGTTTCTTGACCTTTTGCCATTAACATTCCCCTGTAGCATTAGCTTTTCCAAGCCGTCCTTCCATATTGATTGATCAAAAAATAGTAATTTCTCACTATCGCGTATTTTTAGTTCTTCTACAATGGATGCTTTAGCGCGATATCATTTCAGCAATCCTTCTTTGGCGTGCAGCGTTTATGGTCCTGGATCCTGAGCCATATGTTCCAATAGGAAACACTAAAGATTTAAGAAGTTTTAGTTTTTTTTTGCTGATACAGTGGTCTTTCCAGATTTTAACCAGTCTCCCCAAAGCGTCCTTTGTCATTCCGATTCTTCTCTTTATTTCTTATTTTGAACTATTCTTTGTTTTTTCCGTTCCTAAATAGATAGCAAATGTGGGTACATCCATTCTACTGAATTTTTCAGAAAGGACAAACATAAATTACAGCTTTTAATAAAAAGTTGATTTGTTTTTAATTATGTGGATTCTACTACTTGTGATAGGACTTAACCTCAAGCAAAATTTGGAACATTCTTTGCAAGTAATAAACATGTCATTGATATGTGAAGTTGGAATGAAGTCGGTTTTGCAACTAAGAATTAATCAGTACAAAGATTATCAAACAGTAAACAACATAACTAACTGCGTTGGTAAAATTATTATGGTAAAAACATAATAATATTTTAATAAAACAATACAAGTTCGAAATTTTGTATTTTGATATTGGGTTGTGGTATTTTTTTCGTAAATGGACTCTTCCGAAACTATCGCGTATTATATTTTTCTAATATTCTAAGCATTCAATATCACGCCATTTAAATCCATAATGGTTTTTTAGTATTGTGTCCACATCTTGGAGCTTCTGATGTTTAATCTTCTTCCCTCGTGATATCTCTATTAATTTTGCGTTTGGAATTTGCTTTCCTCGTTTCATCACATCTTTTGGAACTCCAACTTCTCAATTATAAGCAACTTCGCCTTGTATCAGAAAATCATGTTTTTTTGAACTTGTTAAAATAAATCGCTTCCAATTATAGAGAGGGCAATCTTTATCTAAATTAGTTACAAGTACATGTTGTTTGATGTCAAAGTACTAGTCTGGTTTTACCATTATTTCTATCTTGCGAATTTTTTTTTCGATTTGTGCAAACACTGTCCGGTAGTAGAAATGCCCCACCATAGGGAACCACTTCCACTCTTTTTAAAGTATTTGGAGCTTTCAAAGCGTACCAGTAGATTAGCACCCCCAGCAAAACAGTATTTTTATTTTGGCCTCCGTATCCATCCGCAACACGACGCAAAGTGAAGGCATTAGACAAATCCAGTTTGTTTAGGAAGATACTTCATCAGATTCTTTTGAGTACTCTTGTTCTGCCCATACATAGGAAAATGCATTGTTTTTTAATGGATCTTTGGAAGTGGCCTTCACGATGGTGAACTTATACATGTAAAGCTGTCTTTTGTAATACAGAATTTGATCTGGAACCCTGAGAATTCTAAAATTTAACTAGATTATCTTTCTTTTCTCTTAAAATGTCATAAAATGCCTTATATTTCATTTGGTGAAGTTTCTTTTCACAATTTAATGTATTTAAAATTGTTTTCATCTTACTTGGTTTTTAATTTTTCTGTTAATTCAAGGCACTTTCAGCATACATCAGTACAAGGTGTACCAAAACCTATGTTGAATCTTGTGTTAAATATTTTTCTAAAATAAGCAAACAGTGCTTAAATAAACACGTACAGAGGACTTCGATTGACAATAGTGTGATTCGATGCAGTGAAATGTTTTAATGAAGTTTATAGTCGAGGTCTTTTTATCTTCATATAATTTTGTATGGCGATCTCCACCACGATGTTCTTTTGGAAGAACTCCGGTAGAAAGAAACCTTTGGGCAACACCCTTTTTTAGATTTAATATTTCGAAAAATGTATTTTTACAAACACGTACTGTTTTGGAGTGCATTTTGACAAACTATTTTAAAGTAGTTATAGGATTTTCACGAACAGCGCTAACATCTTTTTACAGCAACACTCGAAATATATTTTAAAATAAATCCGCCCTGCTCAGATTTTGTTGTATATGCATAAAAATCATCATGAAATTGTTTTACTTCGATGTCGATCAGTTCCGAACATTTATAACTTATTCTTTGTGCTATATCTACATTTAGGAATTACAGGCCCCAAAGTCGGCATATATCTGTGACAAAACAAAGTAACAAGGTACTATTAAAGATCAACTAAGAATAATACTAATTAAGTTATAACTATAATTTTTTTGGGGAACTTCTTTGGCACTTTTCTCCATTTTTATGCTATTTTCAATAAACAATAGCAACACTTAATTATTTTAACAGCCACAACGAGCAATCAGCTGTCCCTGCCGAAAATCAAGATATCACGCGATACAGAGCATGCGCAAAGCCAAATTATGGATGTGCTTGTTTTTGCAACAAACTCAGTCATGGATGTAGCCGTCTTTGCAACATACTATCATATTCAAATGCACTTCCAAGTAGGATGTAGCAGTTTTTGAACGAACTAAGAATAATACTATTTAAGTTGTAACTATAATTTTTTTCTTGGCTTCTTTTCCATTCGCTAGGATTATTAACTTTTTTCCGTGCTTTGCACTTCTTCGGCACTTTTCTCCATTTTTATACTATTTTCAATAAACAATAGAAACACTTAATTATTTTAACAGCCACAACGAGCAATCAGCTGTCCCTGCCGAAAATCAAGATATCACGCGATACAGAGCATACGCAAAGCCAAATTATGGATGTGCTTGTTTTTGCAACAAATTCAGTCATGGATGTAGCCGTCTTTGCAATATCCTAACATATTGAAATGCACTTCCAAGTGGGATGTAGCAGTTTTTGAACGAACTGACTTTACCATATCACGAAGCATGCTTTACACTGTACTTTTCCACTGTTAGTAGAATTTTAATAAAATATGAATGTAGCCGCTTTTGCAAATAGACGCTTCATATCATCCTTAACCCCTATGTTATGGATTGGCTGTAATGATCGAGATACCATACCTGCCCGGTCTATAATCATCAAGTGGCTTAGATCTATTCAATAGCAGTCCACATACCAGGCTTATTTGCTCGACAGTATCATCTGCGTATCGAAAGTTCGAGATCTTTTTCTGTCCTATAGATATTCCACCCTTCCAATTTATATTATTATAGTTATGAATAATTTTATAGTTACTGCATCCTCAGTGGCCATGAGATTCTCGAAATACCGATGCCATCTTTCATTAGTCTGACCCCGGTGGAATCTTTAATTGGAAGATAATAGGGTTTAAAGGTTTTTGAAAGCATCTTAGATAGATCCTAGGTCTTCGTTCTCTTGTAATCGTTGATTTTAAGTTTGTTTCACTTGGAGATCCTTGGTTATCCATTATTTCATTGGTTGGTTTTTTTCAAGGTTTACGTCATTGAGTTCAATAACGTTTCATTTCTGTACAAAGTTCATTAGAATTCATTTGGAAAGAATCAATTCTTTCGTGCGATATTTGGTCAAGATTATCTTTAAGTGTACATTGAAAAGCTGCATTTTTACTATTATATCACAGGTTAGCTTTTGGAGGGCAGAATTTATTTCTCTGTAGTTTGAGATAGATTTCTGCGACTGAAGAGATTATGGTCACTTCCACAGTAGACGGAAAAAGGGAAATCACATTTTTACGCTTACTTTTAACATTTTCAAATTACCTATTTCCAAACGTACTAGTGCAAATTCTTTTGTTTCACAACCAAAAAAAAATATTCAAACATTATCTAAATGCACAAATATCTTCCAATCGCGTATTGCCTTCAAAATTTCAGAATCCTTCAAAAACCAAGCTCCCTAATATGTTTTGTACAACCAATGTGTGATGGCTAACATTAAATGTTCTTGGTGAGCAAAAAAAAAACAATTTCTTAAGATCACAGGATCAACAATATTATGTAAATCATGAAGCTTTGGTCTATTTATGAAACATTTACTTGTTTTAATATGACATTGTAACATTTCAAAATAAATACAACTATTTCTTCAAGTTCAGGAGTGGGACTTCAAATTCAGCAGCTGTTGTGCAAGCGGAAGATCTTGAGAGAAGAGATCTAGAAACCTTTTTTTTTATGAATAACTGTTAGTTTTTGGAGGAGTTGAGTAGAGCTATTACATTTAAATATTGACAAGCTGAGTTATATCGTAAAAATGTGATTTTTTTCCAAACTCTGGGAAACTTTACAGAAGATATGATCCGATTTTATTTCTTATTTTACCTCTTCTATTACAAGTATTACGAATATTACAAAAAAATTGGTTTTTTTTTGTCCCTATTCTGCAGTCAAGCCAAGGGTAGGTCTTTACGTGTCTAATAAAGCTTTTCCATCTACTGTTGATAAGAACTAGTCAATTTGATTGCGTGTACGTCCATCAGGCGATCTCCAAGTATAGATTATATTGGAAATGAGAATTAGATTCACATCTTAATTTTTAATCAATCAACAGAACTCATCTTTAAAATCCCTCTTCGTCGTCATTATTGTCTTCTTCATATATAAAATGGTCTTCACTGCCATTGAAAGCGTTACCTATGCCACATTTCTTAAAAGATTTAACAATAATGTCTTCTCTCACTCTAGACCACGACTGTTTTATCTACTGACACACTTGTTTGATTGTAGGTTGTTTTAGAGCTCCTTTGACTTCATCCATTTGTTCCATTCCTTTCTCATATACATTTTAAATGGTTTATTTATGGAAACATCAAGAGGTTCCAATTGTGAAGCAACCTCTGTATTTCTCTGTCTCAATTTCTCTTTCACAGAATTTTTCAAATGTCTACTAAACTTATTTAGCACAAGAAGAGAATTCTTCTTCAATAAAACATCTTTCCTTCGCTCCCACACTCTGTTAATCCCTAATTTCATACCAACCTCGTTCATAAAACCCTAAGCCACGTCATGTACGTAAACAACAACACCTGGCGGTATTGTAGATGGTTTTGGCATGGCTTTGCGCTTGAAAATGATTGTTGGATTAAGTTTAGTACCGTCAGCATATCATGCAGTGCATTTTTTCATGTCCACTTGTTTATTAACTTCAATGCCATTTTGACTGTGTCCTTGAATCCATTTCAATATGTCATCTTCTAGTTTTGGCCAGTTTGCATTCAGTCCTCTATTTGCACATTTTGTCTTCCCTATTTTTTTCAGTACTTCTTTACTAGCCCTCCAATCGCGAATGGTTTTTTCTGTTGGTGAAGGGCCGAAATGCCGCTCAGCTGTTCTGTTTCCATGTTTTCCATGCTATTACTTTCAATGTATAGCCTGCATCATATGAATACCTTTTATTTTTTTTCAATTGCGAAACTATCTAATAATCTTCACTGTTTTGATCAGATCTTCCACGTTCCAATCTTGTGGAAAATTAAAGAAAAACAAAATATTTGTTTCTTTCAAAAAATTAGAACTGTTCATTGTATGATACTGATATACCGGAATTCCATATAACTCGCAATATCCGAATGTAGTTACGAAACCACTATGCACTTGCACTGTCTCACATAAAATGCAACATAGCTTAATAGTACAGGCATTGTGTGGTTTTGCTTGGAAAAGGGTGACGTCCTTAGGATAACCCTGAGTTTTTGGCCGTCTTAAGAGGCGCACGGCTAAACCCGAATGTTTCTGATTCTACGTCTAATGTTAGTTCTACTTTTCGTTCAATAAAAATACACCATAATTTAACGCTGAATAACAATTAAAACTAGAATTAACACTAGACTTAGAACTAGAAGCATTCGGGTTTAGCCGCACGTCCCTTTAGACTGCTAAACCTGAATGATTCTAGTTCTAGGTCTTGTGTTAGTTCTAGTGATAGTGCAATACTAGAACTAACACCAGACCAAGAACTAGAAACATTCGGATTTAGCCGCACGTCTCTCAAGACGGCTAAACCCGAATGATTCTAGTTCTAGGTCTAGTGTTAGTTCTAGTTTTACACTAGCACTATAATTAGAACTAACACAAGACCAAGAACTAGAAACATTCGGATTTAGCCGGACGTCTCTCAAGATGGCTAACCCGTTCGGAGAGACGTTCGGCTAAATCCGAATGTTTCTAGTTCTTGGTCTGGTCTTAATTCTAGTATTGCACTAGCACTATCACTAGAACTAACCTAAAACTAGTTCTAGGTCTAGTGTTAGTTTTAAGTCAATACAAATATGCAACATAGTGATATCTTATGTTAACTAGCGCTAACTAACATTAGACCTAGAAACATTCAGACATGTTGCATTTTATGTGGCTTTGTCCAGTAGGCCCGCCCTGGTTCCTAAGAAAATATATTTTTGTATATTGCATTTTAAGTGAAATTCTATTTTGCAAAATCAATTTGAACAACTTCTAAATCGTTGTTTCGGGACGTGTAGGTTTTAAGAACTCAGTACTTTACGCAAAATTGACTTAATGCCCACAGACTTCATTAAGACTAGATCTAAATTTGATTCAAACTGGATAGAAATCAACCTTTGATAAAGTCATCAAAATTGGTTTTGTAACAATCTCGATGCAGATATTTTGAAGCCTTCACGAAAACTTGACACAGCTATTTAATGCACACTCAAAGATCTACTGCATCCACCAACTCAATAGTAGTGGAAAATTAATATAGAGTATATTTAGACTTAATAAATACTCAATGTTAATTCGATACTTAATCGGGCAAAATTATACATATTCACAATAGTTACATCAAAACAAAGATTCTTTGCCCTAAGTTGAGCAGAAGGGTTACAATTAATATCAATGAAATTAATATAGCATGTTGCAGCGCCTTGGCTAAACTTAAGAAGGTTGATCTGGTATTAACTGTACTGTCTCAACTACAAACGGCCTTGGCTAAACTTAATGTGGAGATTTTATGACTTTGCCTGATATCGTTGTAGTCGTATGATTTCATCTTATTAAGTCAAGGTCTCGAAACTTTGCATACTGTTGATCAGTTTTTGATTGATTATAATCTGTTTTCCAAACACTCTCTCATATCCAGTAGCCAACTTCACACTCGTAGTCTTTTCACACTGATGTCTTATTTTGTGCGTTCAAGCTAAAGCCCATGTTGAGTTTCCTCGGAATGTGTATACGCACAGTAGGGACCCTTCTCCTTTCTGTAGTGTAGTGTTAAATCTTATGTGATTATCGCTTATAAGTATCTGATTTTGAGTAATTCTTTAATGGCTTCAGATCAGTAATGGCACAGCTATTACCCACCCTGTGTCGTGTTAACTTTGGTCCGCCGTCTTATTTCATTTTCGCAGTACCACCCATATCTTGGAGGCATCCAATGGTGGATTAACAAACCACACACAAGACACAAGCAGTGCTAGAATACATCAAATTCCATCTAAATCGGTTGGTTATGATACTTTCCTTGTCAATAACTTTTTTATTTGGATATTTTTAAATACATTTCTACTTCAACAGAGTTGACGAAATGCAAAAGTGTGTTCACAATTAAAAAGTAATTTTAAATATACTTATATATTATACTTTTTGTGATTAAACACTTTTAAAAATATTAAAAAAAATAAACATCATTTAGTTAAGAATTATTTATTTTATGTTTTAATTTTAAATATTTAGTTTGTAAATTTTAAAAACCCTTAAACCATACAAATAAAGTACAATAATTCAAACAAACTTTATTTTACTCAATTTTTTCAGTTTTTAATTTTTTCTGCTTATCCGCTGGCTATAATTACAACAAAAAAATTTAACAATATTATTATTCATTATCAGCTAAGTATTTATGAAAAAAGTTCGGATATTGTCTTCCTCTGATCAACTTCCATCTGTGCAGCTTGTCTCTTTAAATATAATTTATGTATTTTTTCATAATTATTTTTGTTGTCTAAAAATTTCTTCCGTAGTCTGTCTAGTTTTATTGTTAGTCTTATAGGTTCAATACCAGTCATTTCGTATAAGGTCTTGTTTCTTATGTTGTGTAATGGGTTGTTTGGGTGTCTAATCTTAGAGATAATCCTCAAGCATTTTCTTTCCGCTTTGTCAATTATGTCTATTATAATATATTTAACAAAATAAATCAAATTTTCTAAATAATTACTTTTGATCATCCGGAAAATATAAAAGGGCTAATAACGAAGGATTACTAAAAGCATCTTCAGAAAACCAATAAGCAACTTTAGCAGCTTCCAAACCATTCTCAACATCCCCCTTCTTCATAAATCTCTCCGCTTTTTGCGCATTTTTCAAAGCTGTATTTACTTTTAAAGCAACTTCATCGCTTATAACAATACTGTTAATTTCTGATAATAACAAAGCTAAAGATTTTAAAGTTCTCTTAGTCGATTTAATTATTAAACTCTCCGGGTTATTTTCTTTTAAACCCAATAAGTTTTGTAAATGGTTCGAATATGTTGATCATCTTCGTGGTCAATTAGGCATTGCGTTGTGACTTTTTTCCAGGCTTGTTTCAGTGGATAGAAAAGTGCAACATCAAGGGGTTGTAATAAATGTGTCGTATTTGGTGGGAGGCAAATCAAAATGATATTGTTGGTACGACATGAATTACCAAGATGCAATGACAAGTGTGAAGCAACCGACCTCACTATGTTGGTTGAATTCAAAAATTTTATAAACACCTTTGCAAAATATTCATAAAATTGTTTACTCTGCTTCCACCCAGAGTCAGAAACACCAATAGCCCAATTTTCAGGAACTTAGTCAGCATACTGTCTAGGTGGGCGTTTATATTTGTAGATTGTCAATGGAGGTGCAAATTTTTCTCGTGCAGTCCCGGTAATAAGTTGTCACATTATCCTTGTCTGAGGTACCGACGTCGTAAATATGCTTACCTCTAGGGCCAAGTGCGAGAGTGCCTTTTGGCGATAAAAAATTGCAGTCTCGTCCATGTTAAGAATTCTTTCTGGATCTTCCAGTACAACACTATCTGGTCCTAAGAGTTTTTTAGTTTCTTTAAATCACTGTCGAATATTATATTCTGAAACAGCAGCTTTAGCCTTGTTAATAAATTCGGCTTGCTTTTTGGTTATTTCTGGGTGGCGTTTCATAAATGAAAAAACCATTTCCGTCCTGGTGTATTGTTAGTGAATTTTGTGCTTAAATTACAGTCTTCAATAACTTTTTGTACCGAGTACAGAAGACCTAGCTTTCTTTCCGTTTCTTCTCCCAGGACACATGCAGGACCAACTCGAAGACAGTCATCAAAGTTGTCCGGCTCAGCCTATTTCGGGCAGGCTCGCGCCGACTATATGTGCAAGGTCGTGCATCGCCCGACGGCGCTACTTGAATAGATGCGCCAAAACCTCCGTAAACTGAAAAGATATTGCCCGGTTCGAATTTGGATAAGAGTTGGAAGAATTTTAAAAATGTCTTCTAAATATGTCTATCTAATTGTGTCTCAAGATAGACACAACATTTATGATAAACTATTCCCATCATCTGTTTGCATGGAAGAGTATCAGTTCCAGTTCTTCGTCTGCGGATTCATCAGAAATTTCAAACGATGTAAAGGAATACAGAACTATTTCATTTGTTATAAAAATGGATTATGAATCATGGGAGAAAATTCAACTGATGGATATTTCATATAATGACAAGAAGAACACGTCGGACTTATATACTATCTTGCAATCGGGTTGGACCGACGCAATGTACAAGGGATTTTGGGAAGCCACTAATTTAATCAAACGACATGGGTTTGATTTTTAAAAGGACAAAAGTGGCTCCGAATGGATTATATTATTTAAAAGTATGTGGTTATTGTAAAGTATTTTTTAATAACGAGTCTGCTCTCCGTATAGGGGCATTAAAAGCGCGAATAAGAATGAGGTGAAAAAATGCCAAAAGATTTGCATGAACATTAAATGTCCTGCGCATGGTAAAATATCAACAATGCAAATCCTTGCAATACCATGACTATCGGGTTTTAATGATATGCTCACGGACAGTAAAAAACTGGCATCTTCTTTAGATGTTGATACAAGCTTTAAATGCCAAGAAACATTAAGACCACGAAAAATTAAAAAACAATTCTCTTATGAATGCGAAGATCAGCCCATAAGAATGAAGAAGTAAGCTTTAAAGTGAATTCTTTTTTTAAAATCTTAGACGTCGCAATATCGTCCTTAAGTGACAGGTTTGAGCTGCTATCTCAACATGCAGAAATATTTAATTTTTTATGGAATCTCTCCGAATTCAATAAATATCCTCAAGAAGACCAGCTCAATCTTTGTCAAAAACTTGAAACAGCATTAAGTGACAAAAGTAACATATGCGACATAAATGGAATTGATCTTATGCATGAACTGCAGATTTTGCAGAGCTTTGGGGACAGACTTACATCGCCCGTTAAAGCTTTAAATTATATAGTCCCCATTCATTTCCTAATATCTATATGTATTTCTATACGGATTTTGTTAACAATTCCAGTATCAGTTGCTACAGCAGAGAGATCATTTTCAAAATTAAAAATAATTAAAAATTATCTGCGATCTATGGGACAAGATAGATTGACAAAACTTGCAATCATATCTATTGAGAGTGACATTTTACAAAAATTAGATATAGATTTAATAATAGGGATTTAATTTGCTAAAAACAAAGCCTGAAAAGCTCAGTTTTCGTAAGACGCATTTCAATATACGCATTTTTTTATTAATTTTTTATTAACACGTGGAGCACTCGTGATTGAACTATTTTATGTTAAAGTAATATAAGTATATTTACATAAAATAATATAATTTTATGTAAATATTGTTTATTTAAAAATATAAATAGTGTAAATCTTAAATAAAAACCTTTGACTGTAAACTTTAAAAAATTACAAAATATTAATTTATGTTTATAAATTAAATTTTTAGGGCCTGATTTCGGGCAGATGTTCTTGGGACATATTTTTTGCACACTGTTGCCATTGGAAGATTGTCCACTCTAATAGCTCTCAGCGCATCCTGCATGGCACTCTCAGGATATTGAAATAATTTTCTGGAAGTCATGGTTTGGAAAGGTACATTAATAGATACATTAATCTACATTTTTGAATGAGATAGAAAATAGTCTATAAACTATTTAAATAACGTTGTTATACATTAAAAAATGATTTCAAACCTATTTCAATGTTTGTTCTTAAAGCAAAAGTAAAAAACATGCTCAACACTTACCTCTTGTTTCTTAACCTAAATGACACAAAGTGCACCGTCATCGGGATGGTGTATGAAGTTAAACCTAAATTTAATATGATTTACTCAAGTTTAAACACGCACAGTATTAAGACGCCATCTATAGAATATACAACTGCCAGCTATTATACATATTAAGGGAACTATGCGACAAATATCTTGTTGGTGGTTGGAATAGGAGCAGTGGCCACAACCGGTACATTTACCCTAGTTAGTGCATTCATCTTTTGGCTCTTCCTGGTGTAGTGGAATTACCCCATATTTTTTATCAATTTCGGTATAACAAAGTAATACCCTTATTTCTATTGCAGTTTAGCATTTCCGTTACGATATTATCTGAGCCTGGCTATTTTCTATCCCTTAATATTTAAAGAGCTATTTCGACTTCCTCCTCCAGAAGTCGTGATTCACATTCTTGAATTTCAACCGTTAGATTCTTCTGTGGCCATGAGGAAGAAGAAGGTTCCTGAAAGCATCCTCACACATTGAAACAATCCTAAGCTTTCTGTTAATGTTTTTGCTCAGTGATCTATTTCTATATGACTCCTGGTCTTCTCTTGTTATCATTTGATTTTAAATTTGTTTCTCTTGGAGATCATTTCCTAAGTTTGTTGCGTTATCCATTGTTTCATTGGTTGGCTCAATAACGTATTTCATTTCTATCCAAAGTTCATAAGAGTTTATTTAGTTGATTCTTGCTTGGGATATTTTGTAAATCTTACATGACTATCGCCTGTAAGTTATTCTTCAGTAACAGCACAGCTATTGCCCTATGTGATGTTAGTTTTGGTCCACCTCTGGGAAGATTTGGGAGGCATCTGATAGAGGATTAACATACCCCACATAAGCAGTGCTAGAATACATCAAATTCCATCTAAATCGGTTGGTTTTGATACTTTCCTTGTCAATAATTTTTTTATTTGAATATTATTGAATACATTTCTACTTCAACAGAGTTGACGAAATGCAAAAGTGTATTCACAATTAAAAAGTAATTTTAAATATACCTATATATTATACTTTTTGTGATTAAACACTTTCAAAAATGTAAAAAAAAAATAAACATCATTTAGTTAAGAATTATTTATTTTACGTTTAATTTTGAATATTTAGTTTGTAAATTTTAAAAACCCTTAAAAAATCAACAAGCAAACTTTATTTTACTCAAGTTTTTCAGTTTTTAATTTTTTCTGCTTATCAATCCACTTTTTCAAATTAACCAACGATATCAAAACTGGAAGCATTACCGGTAAAAATAATGGAATATAAACTGCATACCTAAAAAAAAGTTATAATATACACTCAGCGGCATAAAAAACGCATCACCTAAAACGATGACAAGTTTCAAACTGCAATAACTTTTGAACGTCTTGCTCGATTTGAATAAGGTTATTTTTATTTCAAAGCTTTACCCTTTGCCAATATTTCTGTAGGTGCTTTCCCCATTTTGGCACTCTTCAATTTCAGTAATGGTGAATAACGCTAATGCGTGTTTTCTTCATACATTTTGATGCTTGCTGTGGGGTGCACCGACAAAGGAAAATAATTTTGTTCATAAGGAGCTTGTAGTCACGTCTGTTCTGATCACTTCTGTTTTTTGTTCAAGTTTCTATTGTTAACATCAAAGTTACAAGCTCTAAAAGATAACGCAGCTTGTTTGGCAGAGCCATCAGAAATTAAAACAAGTCATAGATCTCGATGAAATTTAAATTTTTTAAACTGTGACAAGTAAAATTTCATTTTGGGCGATCTGGATCCACTCTTCTTCTAGCGCTATTCGGAGATCATCTAGCGTTTGTATAACGGCACCACGAGCTCTAACTTGTTTCCCTATAACATCCCACATGTGTTCTATGAGGTTTAAATCAGGGTTATGTGCATTCCATTCCATTTTGCTGATATCTAAATCATCCAGGTATTGGGACACTATGCGGGCTGTATGGCAACATGCATTATTGTGCATGAACAAGAAGTTGTCACCAATAAATGGGCCGAAGAGAACCACGTGTTCAGCCAAAATTTGTTCAATATACCGATCTGCATTGAGATTGCTGTTGATGAAGCAAACCATTGCAGATCCTCCCTGGTATTGTACTCTAATAATAAGCATTTTATTATTTTTTAATATTAACAATTTTCCCTTTAATACATTCTAATCTATATTATTAATATATTATTTTCACCCTCTACCCTCTTCCTCCATTTCCACACCCTCGGCTCCTCGGCCCAATTATCCCCTCATCCATCCCTTTGTCTCCTCACCCCCACAACCATTCTCATCCATCGTTTCCCCTCTCCCCCCTCTCCTAAGGGTCCAACTCCTCCTCCCTCAACTCACTGCACCCATTCAACATATGTTTCAACGTTTCCCATTCCTCCCTGCATAGCCTACACCACCTCTCCTCATCGGCCATCCAGTATCTGTTAGCTCTCTCCTCGTTTCCACAACGGAACCTAGCCACCAACTTCTTCCCTTCCTCATCTCCTTCCAATAACAAGTATCTAGGCAGCCCCTCCGTA